AGGGTCAAGTTAAAGCAAAAATTGGATTTATCTGCCCCTAGACATAGCAAATTTTAGTGTTTACTAGGGAGAAATAGTTCATAGCCCCTTGTTTCCTTCTTTGTTTCTAAGTTATTGAGAATTTGGCGAATATCGCTGGCCCTCAGCTGCACTTGTTGCCTTTGACAAGGTCATTCTTTAAGGTCGAGCAGCGATTTTAACGGCTCCTATGTAATAACAAGGTCATTTACAAATTGAACAAAAGTTTTTTTTCATGAAAAAAATCTAAGCAAAACATCTTGCTGGCTGAACCTTTGCCCCTTTTCTTCAAACTAAGATACTATATTTGAAAATCTTAAAAAGCAAAATCTCCAATGCACATTTTTCACCTTCCAGATTCTAAATCTCAAAAGTGATTTTTCATAGCCACCCAATTTGCAAAATATCAGCTTCTTTGAAGGCATAGATAAAGAAATTAAAAAGAGAGCTTTTGACCGATATGTATCATTTTCGTTAAAAAAAATTTTCTCCTGAATCATAATATGGATTAATTACGTGAAAATTGATTTTTCTCGTAACTGAGCATTTCAGAAACAAAAAATGTGAAAACATTCCTACTTATAAGGCAGTGATATGTACAGACTGTGAATAAGAATTCATGGCTAAGAATTTTGCGCAAAAGAAAGTTTCGCGAAAAATTCGACAACATAAATCTTCACCATGATCCACATGGGGGAGAAAATCCACCTTCAACACAAAATCTGGATTATTCCGACCGCTATCGTTTCCACATTCCGGTTATGGAATGGCGGCCAGACGAGGGCAGTCATCCGACGACTTCGACGCGCGACAGTGTGTGTGAATAGCCTCATTCTGAGCTACTCGAGCTCGCCAATGCGTCCTTTAAAATTTCCAGACACTTACTCATCATTCAAATACTCGTTTGTCTCGAAGTGTGCGTCATTTTCCCTTTCAATAGAGAGTTCGTGAGTGAGAGCGAGAGCGAGAACAAATCGATGTTAAATTGCACTCTTTTTAGCCTATTTAGCCCCATAGAGTGAGTGGAGGAAAAACACGACAAAGATCTGGTTTTCGATAATCGTGGCTTTTCTGGCTTTTTCAGCATAGTAGAGTGAGTCTGACGCTGTTTTCCTTTTCACTATACCTTCCACTACTTCAGGTCGTGATTCAACTTTCTCCTATCAGACATAATTTTGGTGTTTTTCCCTTACTTCAAGATCTGCTTTATCAAAAACCGGACTATCTCAAATTACGTCCTTTTTCCTCTAACTTGAGTTTCTGAAATTTGGCAAATTATCCCATCTCTCTTCCTCAGAATTTTCTGGAATCAGTTTCATCATTCTAAGCCAAACATCAGAACGGGTTTTCGCCTTTCCCTATTTTCTAAGGCTGCAAAAATTTGGGAAGTTGATGTTAGTAAGTGGTATTGTTCCTTTTTTGTCTGAGTTCCCGAAAATTGCCAAAATTTTCTCTTCCTTCCTCAGAATTTTCTGGACTCACTATCATTCCATGCAGAATATCAAACAGGTTCTCGCCTCTCTCTTTTTAAGTGTGCAAAAATCTGGAAAATTAGAAGATACTGCATCGAAAACCATCTTTAGAGGTTGTTAGTAAGTGGTTGTGGAACAGGCCTTTCTGTACGAATCTACACATGAGAGACTGTGTCACAGCATTTCTGGACTCCCAGCGACTTTTTGCTCCGATAATTTCCCTATCACAAAGAATTTCGGAGTGTCTTTTTCCTCTCACTTTAGAATCCAAAGAAGAACGCATAGTCTATCAAAACCAAAGTATCTCAAATTAGTTCTTTTTTCCTCAACTTGAGTTTCTCGAACCTGGCAAATTATCCCATCTCTCTTCCTCAGAATTTTCTGGACTCGTTTCTTCATTCCGTGCCAAACATCGAAACAGGTTTTGGCCCTTAATCCCTAAGGCTGTATAAATTTTGGGAAGTTAGATAACTCAGCATTAAAGACCTTTCCCAGTCCAAAGGCTGACGTGTGTCTTTTTAAAACACTTTGCTGTCTTCCTGCTACAAATCTCCAAATCGAGAACTATGTCGCAGCTTAACAAAATTAAACATGTTGTTTGGGAATTTTTGCCAAATTTTGTCTTCAGTGACTAAAGGTCCTATGCTAAACGAACATAGAATAAAAATCTGCTCATCCTGAAGCTTGGCTTCCTGCGTGCACTTTGAATTCGAAGTAATTCTTTCTATTCCGATAGATCTGCTTGCATTCTTTCTGTGAAAAGACAATTATGCATTTTTTGATGGGCTCCTAACGGCTTGACAGCGCAGACTATAGAGATAGAAGCGAAGAAATGAGGTGGTTCGTGCTTAAAATTCTAGCGTTTCCATAAAATTCGATGTAGACAGCAACATGAGTTTGGTAAGCCAGTTTCTTAAATTTCAATGTTTGTGACAATCAAGATGTCTAGGAGAAAAGTTGATTCTGAGAAATGCAAGAAAGACCTTGCTGTTTTGTATTGAAATCAAAAATTTTAACTTTTCAGTTCGATAGACGCAGCTGTTGCATAGAGTAATTTGTGGAGCTTAAGTAGCTTTCTTTTTTCGGAATCAACATTTTTGAAAGCTTTTGTAAATTTTCTGGATGTCTTTACGCTGATCTTAATCAAATAGTGTATACCATGCTTTGATGATTGATTGACAATCCTATTCCCATAAGTACTCCTGTTTGCATGACTAAAATCACAAACTACAGTTGTGCACAAATTTCTGCACTTTCTTTGCCAAACTTGAAAACAATTTGTATTAGTTTTCCCTAAACGCCGCGTGCAATCTCTGCTCAGTGGTGTGTTTCAAGAACAATAACAACTCGTTCTTCGTCGTATCATCGTTTGGGCGATTGTGTTTTTTTTTCTTCTAGAGCGACGAGAATGCATTTAGGCATTTAGGGGTCACGTAAGAAACCTGCTCTTTTCTTAGGATGAACTTTGTCACTTGTCGCCTTGTCTTGAGCGCTTGCTTCCTCAAAATCGGGTCATAAATGCTTCCTGTGTTATCTCTAACCCCGTTATAGGAGCTGCTACAACCCGAAGATGTCACTTCACTTCATTTATTCAGAAAGTTCCTCTCGTACTTATACGAGCGCATTGAATTCCCGCTATTTGCGCCATTTTTCCTCTGACGTGGTTCAGAAAGCATTGTATTTAGTGGTTATAGGGAATCGTTCATATAATGCATTACCGCAACCTATGGTAAAGGTATATAATTCAGAAGAGTACAACTGCGGTACTGACAGCATTCGCGCGTAATTAACTGCTATGTTTCTGAATGCCGGCGACTCGCTTGTGACTTAATTAGGCTTTTTAATAAATGACCAGAAATTGTACCTTTCACGCGCGCATGGTTCGGCAACGAAAGACAGTGCTCATTGTAAAATTTGCTAAAGATTATGATGGGGATACAGTTTGTTCATATATCTGGATTTGCATTTTCCATGCGCAAACTCTCAAAGAATATGAGAGATTATCTACTTTTGTATGTGAACCGTCTTAAAGATTACGGCCAACCAAAAACCAACGCTATGATGAGTTCAAATTATGTCGCAACTATAACCTCGTTCACTCAGAAACTCGTTCACTGATTCTCACATGCATAATTCTAAGCACAATCGAGAGTCGGCCTCCTACCCTATATGCATCGAACCAGTTCAAGCGCTTTTCTACTGTATTCTTACCATACCTTAGAAATTACCTTTGCCGAGCACTCAAAATCTAGCATTGGTTGAGTACAGACTTCTAATGAGGAACTTGCTGACTCAGGAAGTTTTACTCTTATGTGCAAACTTTTGCGCGTATGTATAAGTCAGCCTCTTACCTTACTTCCACCGTGTCTCAAAGATCAGTTTAGCGTATGAGAGGCTAGCATCAGCTGAGTTTGTTCACATTTCAATCCGAAGTTCTTTTGCTTGAAATAGTGTCAAGTGTTTCCATGAGTGATTTTTGAACGAATTTGAAAGCTAGTTTTCTACCATATAACTGCCGTATCTCAGAGATTACGGTACCGCAGTGTAGCAAGAGAGTGACACTAGCTGGATATCTTCATCTCAATCCGACACTCGCTTTGTAAACAAATTCAATATATTTCCACCAAATTTTGAATAGATTGGAGAGTTAGCTACCGCATCTCTACCGTACCTTGAAATCACCAAACTGCAGAAACCTTTCTTAACCCATTGACGACGATGCCCAATTTTGCGTGGTTGCACTGTGGGACGACGCAATTTTGCACAACGTTTTCGGTATGGGAAGGTTCTGTGGTTATTTACGAAACTTAAGGTCGCTTTGTAAACAACTATAAATATTCTTTTGAATGGCGGAGCCTACAGGTTCAAAGAGTGCAAAACATAGGGAAAAATATCATTATGCGGAAAAATACTAGACCTACAAATAATATGACTTTGCAAGAAGTGTGGGCCACCAGTGGTACACATCGTCCCTGGCAGCAAAGAGTGCATGGGCCACCGGTGGTCCACACCGTCGCGAATGGGTGACCTACGGGTGGAGATATGAGAATTTCTGTATCCTATGAGTTTTTTCCACCTGGTATCGTCGCATCCGACCGGTTTTTACGTTTCAAGGAAGCCACACGAAACAATTTCCTGGCAAATTTCGCATGACACATTGTAAAGCCTAGAAAAACGGCAGCAATCCGTTGATTGCGACATCGACGACGCGCAATGGAGCGTTGCTAGCCGCGTTGATGTTTTGCGGCCCGGCCCATGGTGGTGGTTTTGCCCGATTACGTTTCCCAGACACCGTCATCACACATCTGTACAAGCGATTATCCGGGGCTATGCTGGTGTTCGCTCTATATAGCACGTTGTGATCGTTTGCTCTTATCCTGGGTGATTAACTGTTCGGGCCTTCTACAGCTCTGATAATCCTATTTGAACTTCCCGCTGCAACGCGATTACCCTCATTTCCCCGCGCATTTGAATTTTCCACGTCCCTCATGCAGTTTCCTCAATTTCCAGGAGCGCCATGCAGATTTGGCATATGGAACCGTATCCATGTGGGGATCGACGTCTCCCACATCATGTGTTCCCACCGAAGAAAATTACCGCCGACCAGCTCCTAACACTAACCGGTGTCCAGTACTTCAAGGTACTTTGCTTATGGGTCAAGAGAGACTATTAACTGGATAATTGCCGGATTTGCACTCAACTCCTTCTCCTAATTCAGGTTGATCTCGACGATACAGTAGCGATGAAAAAACGTCTTTCAAGAGTGAAAAATGAGAGGAAAGTAAACTCATCGGACATGTTGACTATCAATGAATCAATTCCAGATATCAATGAGAAGGTGGGTTAGATTTTTGTAAACATCTGGACGTGAAAATTACAAGATACTTAGGATCACGCAATCACTTTGCTATTTTCCAAACAAACTGTCTTTTCTCTGAACAAAAATGCTTAAAATTACCTTCTGAAATAAAAAAGTAGCAATTTTACAACTCCGATACTTTCATCCCATAACCTCACTTACAACTAAGCCATACTAATCTGAAATTATGGAGTTTTTACGCCAAATCTATTTTATTACTAAAATTTCATCGTATGCTAAATTCCGCCCATTCTTCTTTTCTATGCAATCTTAAATTTTTCTGAGCATTTTGTTCCAATCCAAAATTATCATAGAAATCAGCTTCTGCCAAAAGCAACCTATATTTCATTTGCTGGTTCGTGGTTTCTAGAGCTTCGTCAAATATATACATTGGAATTGAGGTTTTTGACTTGCCCTAGTTTGTTGGAAAAACTCCTAAAAATGACCTTTTCGAGCTTAGTGGGGTATCAGATTACTATAATTGTGCCAAATCTAATGGAGCGGGTAATTTTGAGGCAAACAAATGTAGAAGGAGCTTGACGAAGAATTGGATATGATTTCGTTTCCATGAACCCTTACTTTATCATAATCGAATTTGAAATTGCCTTCTCAAAAGCTGAAGACGCAGCTTTATAAATTTTACACTCCCTTGTTGAACATCTTTCTTTCCTTCACATTTTTAAGCGGAAATTTTCGAGTTTGAACTGCTGATTTTATTGAGCCTGCCTACACTGCACCATATTCTAGCCCGATGTTTTGACTTTCCTTCTTAATCAGTCTCAGGATGGTTTATAAGAACTTCTCTATGAGAGAGTATGCATTCTTGGAGCCAAAACCTGTTTTGAACGCGGGAATGCTGTAGTAACATTCATCATTTTTTTTACTTTGCGTAGAATTCTGCCATGCTTGTTGTCTCCAAAATATTGCTTCAGAAAAGTGCGATTGTTAGTGTGCAGCAGGTTGAAGTTCCAGCAATTTAATGTACTTCATAGCCAAGAAGTTTTAAAGAATAAGAAGAGATTAATTTCTCCGAACATCTTTTTATTGTGAAATTTGCATACTCTTTTGCGCGTGTCTAGTATTTGATTTATCAAATCCTTAAACATTTTGTTGCATATCTCTTTTTTGAGTCTGCCTATTCACAAATCAAATTTTACGAAAAAAAAACCTTCTTTGGGCTGTATATGGACATTCAATCGTTGTAAAAGAGGGCATTCGCATATAAATCGCCAACCGACAGAGCGTCATTGTGTATACCTATCAATAAGCATACAAAATCGTTCTTTCTCAAAATTGCCCAGTGCCAGGTACGATAACACGAGCGATTTGACAACCGTAGAGAAGAAAAAAGTGACCCGTGAATTTTTATCGCATGTGAACTTTTTGCAATTTGCGAGAAGGAGAACGGGTGAATCTTTTTGCAAGGTGATTTGTTACGGCCTTTTCTCCAAGCGGAAAGGAATGCAACCGAGAAAAAAAAACGTGATAAAAGTTGAGAGATTCTACCGTTTTTTTTACTAAACAAATCAATGCAAAAAGCTAACAAACAGGAACGTAATCGATAATTCACACAAGAGTCCTAAAACGAGATATTTCTATTACGCTATTAGACAATTGTTGTGAATCCAAGCTACTTGAAAGCAGTGACTAGGCAAAATTTCGTTTCCCACTTTTCCTTTTTTTGGAGCTTTCTCGCCATGAAGAACCTCTATCTGGTTTTTTCAGCGCATGAAAAAGGCGAGAATGGGCTTTCCTCGGACTTTCTAGTTCCACATTTAGTGGAAAATACGTTAAGTGGGCGGATTGCGAAACAAGAGAGGCGGGATGCGGACGAGTTTCGGCGTATTTTCACTGAATGCAAACCTGGAAAGCTTGGAAAAAGGCTCATTTCCGCCATTTTCATCCGCTAAAAAGTGCAGATTTGGGTTTCTCATGGCGGGAAGGCTCTTCAAAGATGAAATGGAAAACAAAATTTTGCCAGGACATTGCAGAAGGCAAAGGCAGGAGAGAAGGGAGATCAAGAGGATCCAATTTTCTTGCAATGTTGAAATTGTCCAGGGGATTTAAGCATGAATTTTCAGTAAAGTTTAAGCAGTCTAGAAACTTTCATGGATTCCACCTTGAACAAAATCTTGAAAATACAAAATTTTTTATCTCGAGGAATGTGAAGAACTAGAAGAAAATCGCAGTCGCTTTTTCTAAAGCACAAAAAGTCTATATGCCGCCACTAAAACTTATGTATAATCTAAGTTGTACGACTTTTCTTTCTTGCGGTGGAGCTTTCTGAAAAACATGCACTCACTCTCTTTACTTCTCCCTTCTCAGGGGTAGGGAGAAGTAAAGAGAGTGATTGCAGGCTTTTCAAAAAAAGGGGGCTTTCCAAATTTTTCGCAGGCCGTACAATCCTGAAACTTAGGATTGGTAATGGCTTCCTTTTTCTTGTTCTTCCTCTGTTCAGCTCTAAAAGAGTCCTTCTTTCACAAGTAAAGGCGATTATCGGAATTTGCGCGACTTAATTTCGGGTGGGAGAGGCCCGACCCTTGATCCGCATTGGACCGTTTTTGATACCCTTATATAGGCCGTTATAACCTTTAAAATCGTCCGCTTAAACATTTTCTTCTGTATTATTTTTCAACATTCTGTTTCTTCGAATTTCTAAATGTCTCAACGACTATATTTTTTTGAACTTTCCCATTTTAGCCGGAGGAGGCTCCTTTACCTGATCGTGATTATGATTCTAGCTCGAGGAATACTACGAGCCTACCACAAAGGATCAAGATGTAGTATCTCTGGTCATGGATGGAAGTTGCTATTATGATGTTGAGCCAGAGGTTTGAGACCACCAGCATTTGAATAAAATGATGTTATAGGCCAGTTTTCTAAAAAAGCCATCTTTAGGAAGATGAATGGATTCGAATTCATCTGGAACGAGGTGACCTGATCGTCATTCCAAAAGGTGTTTCTCATCGATTCACCGTTACACCGCAAGTATGTCAAAAAATTCTCTCGCAAGAGAATTTGATGATCGGCACTGGTAGTCACAGATTGTTTTTTAGAACTTCGTACAAATGCAACGTTTCTTCCCCAAGAAGCCTGATGATGTTCAGGGATAAGAAGAGAACGCGATTGCCAATTTTCATTGCTCTTTCTACACTTACACTAAACAATTTTCACTTCTTCGCAACGTAACATAGGGTTTTAATCATGTATGTGCTTTGTACATAACTCATGATATGCAACAATATAATACAAAATGTTAACAGTGATAATGGAATTGCCAGAAGTGGTATGTAGCATTATACGAATGTAGATAAATCATTCGCTTCCTTAGATTTTCACATAAGCATTTTTTCTTTAGCAGTTTATTCGGAAAGCTGTGTACTGGAGAGTAAAATAATAGGTTGTCTCATAATTAATGCACGTTTTTCTAACCTCCTTTTAAGAGAGCTGATTTTCAAAGAAAAAACATTTTTCTTCAAAACCCTTTATAGTTTCGGAAAGTCCGATTCCTCTAGTTTCTAATATATGCTTTTGTTTTCGCAAATCTTTGTTTAAGCCGTAATTCCATGCCTTCAGAGACAAGTGATTAAAATTTGAAATTCTTTCCCTTCATTCTCCTTGCTATATATCCATGAATAGTAGACGGATTTTCTTCAAAAAATATGAGTGACGATCGCGAAGCTTTAACAAAATGCTTGTATGAGATTTTCGGAAAATTTCGAGCTATGAGATCTTGTCTCAAACTTGGCGTCGCTGAGGTCCATCTAAGCTGCATAAAAATCTCAAGCAGAAAGCGAATAAATTTCGCTATGTAAGCGTAAAATAGACCTGGTACAACTAATGCTAGAAAAAACGAACGCAGCATTTCACCGTCTTTTCGAAGAAAAAAATTTCAAAAATTCCCAAAAAGGCAGTCTTTTGGATGTTCATACTGAAAAAATGGGTACTTCAAGCGTTTTTGCAAAATTTTCTCACAATATGCCGTAAAATTCAAACTTCACTCCATTACACAATCGACCATCGGCTATATAATGAGCAAAGTCCGCGCGGTCCTAGTACATTTGAGCGAGAGTTAACCTCTCTCAAAGTATAGGTTTCTAAGAATTGTTCGGAAATTTTTTAGGCTATAAAACCTTTCTTAAAGTGGCTGCGATCCAGCAAAAGCATGCGTTCTATAGTCAACGGTTTGTTGTTTGCAGTAATTTTTATTGCGCTCAAAAAGATGGTTTGGGAAAAGACTTATCTTGATTAGAAATTGAAATTCATGAAACGTGCATTACTTATGAGACAACCTGATATGTATATGACAAACAGAATTCCTCCAAAACTGTTGAATGATACATCATTGTGTTTTGTTTTATTTTTACTGCAGACTGAAAATACATCTTAGCGCCCAAAACACTCGAAGCGTTTTGGATACCGCCCAAAATGCAAAAATCAACCGGGAGGACGAATACCTAGTCATCTAGAGAGCTGTATATGAGGCTTTGCGGCTACGTGAACATTTGCCCCTTTTAACTAATGAGATCAGGCCAGAAGCGGTTACTAGATAGTCTACTAGTGAACCAGTAATCAAAGGTGAGACTGCATTCGCGCGCTTCGGGACCGCACCGCGGTTTCCCGCTATTTGCAGATTTTTGGATTGCGCTTACGTTCCTTTATATATTAGATAAAACTGCATTACAGCTTTTGGCATAAGTAGTCTGCATTTACTAAATCTGTCAGTTAAGGTGACCATTAGCTCAATTTTGCGTTTTGGTTGCAGCTTTTGCTTTTAGAGCGTTGAATTTTTCCCTGCAATCGACAAGTGGCTTGCTTAGATACGTTACTGAGTGTTTTCGACTTCTCAGACTTCGAAGGAGGCGGAGTTGCCGAAACGTCAATCCTTATAGTCTAAGCAATAAAAATCTGTATCAATCTTGCTCTTTGCTAAAGTAATCAACCAAATTTGAAAAGACTCCACAAGGAAAAGACATCTAATCAGAATGGTTTCCCAAGTGGGTGTACACCCTTGAAGAACATAAAACGCTGATCTAAAATCTCTCCATTAACAGCAAAGGCGTCTCAATGAGTTACGGATGTACTACTCAAATGAAAAAACTGAACGTGGGTTAAGTCCAGGCTCGAGCAAAAGGTGTGGCACACAACCGCCGAATACGACTCCCCCCCCCCCCCCTAAGTTCTGCCTCGATACCCCCCCCCACCCCATTTTCGCTTGCTTGCTGTAGGCATGATATAAAGGCTTTAACTAGCATAATTAATAACATCCTTGTGATTGTCATGTCAGAGAATCCTTTGGGCCAAGTTTTAGCGAATTTTGTGGTTTCCCTTTATTGGGCCACCCAAGTGAAGTGACCATTTTCAAATACGGTTAACTATATTTCAAAAGCGAATTAGCTACCTCTTCTTGTATTCAATACGAAGCACTACTCCCTATTAGCCTATTCATGAATTTGTTTCAAATAACCATCGAACTATGGAATTAGGAGCCAGCCAAAATCTCGTTTGTCTCATCCCTTGCAGCGGTTGTGCTTCCAGCAACTATCACTCAAAAAAAAGAAAACAAATTCAGCAACTTCTACAAAAACTACGAGGTTTTTGCTATTTATCTTTATGCTATCAATCTGCCTCAAGGCTGATTCTACCTTTGCCAGCTAATCTACACTGACCTTTCGGAGCAGCTATGACGTCGCGGTGCACACAGTTTCTTATTGCCATTGGAACTACTTCTAATGCAAAATCTAATATATAAAGCTGAACGTCTGTTTATATGTTTATCTGTCTGTATGTCTGTACGTACGTTGCGAATAGAAAATTTTACTTCTGAACCGATCCGGACCAAACCTTGTACACATACTCGGGGCGGAGCGGGTGCCACAGGCTATCTATCGTCATCGATCGATATCGATTTTATCGATTTTTTTTGGAAAGTTTGGGCTACGGGGCTGGGAGTTTCACGGGGGTGTAAGTGAACATGCTAATTACGAATTATTGACAGGGCCGGGCAAAGCATGCTAGCTAGTTAATTATAATTTTGTGTTCCCCTGATCTGAAGTGACATGTTCTGACTGTTTGAGGGTTAATCCATGTTCGAACACGATAAAAACTAAAACCCTCAATTCTTAACTGATAGAAGAGGATTTATGGCCATGTCTTTTAGTCAAAGTACACTTATGACCAAAGAGTTCGCATTTCGACTTCGTCTTGTCTCCTATGCCACATATGCAGGTTTGAGCAAGAAATCAGGCACAATCCCCCAAACGCCCCTCCGCTTCACCTCAGGCTGTGACATTTTGAAGAAGATCAGCCTCTTCTGGAGGTTCTTGTTTTTGAATCTGGCCTGACTTTCTTGTTGCGCGACTACGCGGTACACGCAACTTGAAGGCAAATTTTAGATCTAAAATAGCCTTTTTCCCAAAGCTATAATTTCTGTAGGGTGGAGTGTTTAGCTCCAAGTTTTCAGTATTGCGAGAAGAGGTTTTGAGCTCAACACTCATACCTACTAGAAAATAGCAATTATTGAGTAATGAAGGCAGGTTAAGGGGGTCAGACACAAGGTTACAGGAGTTCAGGCAGCCTGACCTTTCGAAGAGTTGCGCCTGACTCCATTAACCTTTTCCGAAGAAGCTTTTCCATCCGAGTTTTTTGTGATTCGCTAGCAAACCTCGAAGAACAGTATGTTTGAGTTTGCTTCAACTTGTTTCGACCTTCTCGTAATCCGTGGAGTTGAAGCACTAAAGGTGAAGAACGCGGAGATTGAAACTTTGGAAGCAATTCTTATCCCACTATGGAAACGATAGGAAGCCTGAATTCTAGCATGGACTGGTAGAAAAATTACTTTTCTATGTTTGTAAAAAACCAACTTCTTTCACTTTTAAAACCGATTACTCATGTTCAAGAAACGTTTTTAGACTTTGCAAAACATTAGAAAATGCAGTAGGTAATCGTCTGTAGGGCTCACAGAGCTTTACATCACATTACCTTCTATGGAAGTAATTTGAGACGCTGATTACGCAAATGATACCCATTTACACAGCAAGCTTCCTTGACGACGTTACAACATGTTAAAGAGGTGAAAATTTAATTTTGGCTGGGTCGATTGTGGGAGTGATCAGTATCCTGTACACGGACCGTCATTCCTTCAGCTTCTTCTCTTCTTCACCCTAAAGGCAGTGTCCGGCGAATTTTGCCGGGGTGAACATCAGCCAGCTGGACTGGGCCTGGAGGCTAGTGGAGTGACCAGGAATCTCACCACGCTCTAGCTCTCAGGGCGCGAATCTGCCAGGACACTGTCTTTAATCGTAGTATCGCCTCAAATTTCCTGAACGAATTCGATTCTTGATCACGCCCCTCCCCCACCCCCCCCCCCCCCCATGCTTAGCCCCCAATACGACCCCCCAGGTCGGGCACGTCTGATCCCACGCTCAACCCTGCACATATGCTTCATGCATTCGATTAACCCATCATATTAAGTCCTCCCGTCCCTTATTTTTTCGCATCGACCTAAGCGCTAAATATGTTAGAATTAACTTTCATAGAAGATTTTGACGATTTTGATCGTATTTTATGTAAATTTCCATCTTCTTTCTGCGGGTCACGTTCTCAATTTGAAATCTTCAAAAGCATCCCGCAATAAGGTCGAATATTTTAACTGGGTAATTTTGAAAAAAAAATTCTGACAGATCTTTGGCAATGACTAAATCAAGCAGATGGTGCAAATCTGACTGCTAACTTTGTTTCAAGGTTTCTGAGTAAACATTCTCGACTTTTGAAAAATTCTTCTGAATTCTTGCTCTTATAGGACATCGCGCTCGACCTCAAAAGCCACATTTTTAGAAGCGATTTGAGGTTAAGTATAATTAGACTGTAACAATAATTAATGCTCAGCACTTTGAACTGGGAGATTTAGTAACAGAAGTGCAACCTTCTAGTTTGTGAAGGCTCGTATTTTTGTGATAATGTTGCAAAAGTGCTGAGAGTTGACAAGAAATTGTAAAAAATATCTTTTGATACCCCTTTAGAAGGCTGGTATAAGATTGAAAACAAAAAATAGAAAGAAAATTAGAACATTCTAAAAACACAACTCGGCACTCAGACAGCGGATCGGACCCCTCCGCCGGAGAAGTGGCAGGGTCGCGGCGTATCCCCAGCGGTGGGTCTCCCATTTGTCCGGCGGAGCCCTCCCATCTTCTGCTCCGGATACCCCCTATTTTCTGCTCCGGATACCCCCCATTTTCTGCTCCGGATACCCCCCATTTCCTGCTCCGGATACCTCCCATTTTCTGCTCCGGAGCCCCCCGATTTTGT